TCGTGGCATATAGCTGTAGCATCCTGGCTGGACAAAGATGTTCAGGGCTTACTTCTGGCTCTGCACTCCGGGATCACTCCTGGCGGGCTTGGGAACCACAGGGGTGCTGGGAATTGAACTCAGGTTCGCAGTGTGTCAGGCAAGTGTCTTTCTCACTGAACTACTGCACCAGTCCACTGGCGGGGAGCAGGAGGGCTTTGGCCACATCTGTGGTGCTTAGATCTTATTTCTTGCTCTGTGCTCTGGGATCACTCCTAGTGCTCAAGGGCTCTCTGTGGTGCTGGGGGTTGAACCTTCATGAGCTGTGTCCAAGGCAAGTGCCCTCCGCTCTGAATTGTGGCCATTAATAGGCTTATATGGTGCCAGAGGCAGTTTGTGGGTATGGCCACCAGGATCCCAAGAAGACAGGGAAATGGGGGGATGTTTCCCATTCCCAGCTCTGCGAGAGCCTGAAAATTTTGGTCACAAAAGCTGGGTTTTTAGCAGATTCATTCTCATGAATGAGGCTTGTCCCGAGCCTCTGGAGATCGGACGTGAGCATGGTGGCAATTTGTGGGTTCTGGAGGTTTTTGGCTGCCGGGGCTCTATTGAGGCTGGGGCTGGGCTCACTGGCCCCTCTTCCAAGTTGCCCCAGAAATGAGGTTCAGCCTGGTATGGTGTCTGAAGGCATCTCTGCAGCTTGTGGCTCTCTTTTGATATTTAGTTGTGAGTCTTTCTCTTCCCCTTTAATAAAATTTCCTTACTTGACTTTTTTTGTTGTTTTTTGGGTCACACCGAGTGGTGCTCAGGACTTACTCCTGACTCTATGCTCAGGGGCCACTCCTGGCAGGAGATGAGATGGCATGCCAGGAATCAAACTCAGGTTGGTTGCGAGCCAGGCAAATGCCGTAGCCGCTGTACTATCACCCACTCTATTTCACTATTTGGCTCCTTCTGAAATTTTTGTTCCTGCGAAAACAGACAGTAAACTTGGGAAACCTGGGCAGAGATCATGACTGACTTCTCTTTTCTTGCAAAGAGCAGACTCCCAGGGCCGGAGCGATAGTATGCGTGGTTAAGGTGCTTCTCTTGCATACGGCCAGCCTGGGTTAGATCCCCAGCACCAGGGATCTCTCCTGGGAGGACCGTAGTGCTTCCCTGCAGATCTTCCATACAACCAACCAACCCCCCCTCAGTCACACATGAAGCTAAAGAGTCCATGAAAAAGATCAAGCACACGTTCAGGGTTGTAACACCCACTGGTGTGTGAAACACTGGGTTCATTACCCAGCTCCGCCCTCTACCCTGCCACCAATCACCATCACGACCATCCTGTTGTTCGTCGATCGCCTCGAGCAGGTCCCAGTAACGTCTCCTTTGTCCTAGCCCTGAGATTTTTTAAAAAGTGCCATATTCAAGGCTCTTTCAGGGTTAGGAGAATGAGACCCATCATTGTTACTGGTATTTGGCATATTGGGTACACCACGGGGAGTTTGCCAGACTCTGCCATGTGGGCAGGTTACATTCGGTAGCCTGCCAGTTTGTCCAAAGTAGGAATGAGATAATAAGATGTCATTCGCGGCCGCGCGGTTCCGGGAGCTGGGTTTTATAGTCTCTGGGTCTTGGCCGTTGATGGTATTATACGGCGCCAGGGGGCCAGTTGGTGGGTGTGACCCCTGCCTACTGGAATATGGAGGATCTGGGTGGAGGTTGCTCAGCCCCGATCCAAGCAGGCTTGGAGATGTCAGCCCCGGGACCCGCATGCCTTTGTTCCTCTGCCGGTACCTTCATGCGTGTGGAGAGTGGTCTCAGCATGGTAGTGGCTGGTTCTGGAGGTCTTCGACTGCCGGAGCCCTGGTCGGGGCGGGGAGGGAAACTCAACCCGCTCCCCTCCAAGGGGCCCCGGCAAGGACAGCCAGGCGCGTGGGTCCTGCCACCAAAAAAAAAAAAAAAAAATGGAGAGAAAAAGAGATAGAAAAAGATCATGCATGTTCCTAGCAACATGCATTTTGTTCATGAGAACACTTCAATCCTGATGACCACTCACTTTGAAGGAAATTCTGTTTAAACTTGAAAGTTTGAGAATATTCTTCTTTCCTAGTCTTCTTAATTGTTCCTTTATTACAAGACATAAGAAAGATGATATGGATGAGTGGTATAACCACATATCCAAAACACAGACTCAACAGCACTGAAAACATGAGATCTAAGCTACAGCCATTGGAACTCAGTAACGTGTCTGCCAAGGTGACCGTGGGTGCGGGGGCTTGCCGGGAATGGGGCACCGGGGTTGGGGTTGGGGAGGGACTATAGGAACACTGGTAGAGGGACGTTGACACCAGTGGTGGGACTGGTGTTGAACTAGTATATGTTTAAAATTCAACTCTCAATAACTTTGTAAATCAGTTATTTAAATTGTAATTTTTTAAAAAAAAAGAATACATAAAAGGCCCTATGTTTCTATCTCTATAATTTATTTTAGTCAACTTTATACGAATAGTAATGATCTTTTCTAATAACTCTCAAGGAAACACTTGGTGGAGGCTGTGCTGTCGGTATTTACTAATGCTTACCTTGTGCCATGGAGGGATTTCGTACATGTGGTCTGGTTTAAGACTCATAGCAACCCTATGAAGTTAGAACTACTCACTATCATTAATCTTCTCCTTATCCCAACATCTCTGAGTAACCAGACAGAAACAAAAATACTTAAGTCTCAAATGAAAAAGAAAGCAAGGTAGGGACAGGGCAGGAGTGATCGTACAGTGAGCAAGGATAGCGCAGCGGAGAGGGCCCTTGCATTGCACACAGTCAACCCAGGTTCGATCCCCAGCACCCAGGATGGTCCCCTGAGCTGCCAGGAGTGATCTCTGAGTCCCGAGCCAGGAAGAAGCCCTGAGCATCTCCGGGTATGGGCTCCTCAAAAAATGAAAAAGAGCTCTGCTGTTCTGTGTCTGTATCGATGATGGACTGCCCTCAGTAGAATGGCTTTGTAGAGGGAGCTGTATGCATATTTTGTTATCTGATTAATTAATATTTTGTTTGGGGGACCATGTAATGCTGGGGATTGAACCCGAGGCTACTGCATGTAAACCATATGGTCTAGCCTACTGAGTCATCCGCCTAGCCTCTGTAATACTGTTTTTTTATTTATTAGCTTTGGGCTCACACTTGGCTCTGCTCAGGGCTTATTTCTGACCCCGTGCTCATGGATCACTCCTGGTGGGCGTGGGGGTTCATATGGGGTGCTGGGGAATTGAGCCCAGGTTGGCCACGTGCAAGGCAAGCGCCTTACCCACTGTAATACTATTTTAAAACTAAGTGTTTGGCCATAATATCCATAAGTAGAGAGAGAGTAAGAGGGAAATTGTCTGCCATAAAGGCAGGAGGAGGGGTGGAACAGGAGGGTGGGGAGGGATACAGGGGACATTTGTGGTGGAAAACGTACAGTGGTGGAAGAATGGGTGTTCGATCATTGTGTGGCTGAAACTCAAACATGAAAGCTTTGTAAGTAGCAAAAAAAAAAGAAAAAAAAGAAATATCAAAAAGCACACACACAAAATAAAACTGAGTGGTTTTTATTTTTAAATCTCTAAAAGTTAACTGACACTGTCCACAAACAAACACTGTCCTCCTGTTGTTCATCGATTTGCTCGAGCGGGCCAAGTAACGTCTCCATTGTGAGACTTCTTGTTACTGTGTTTGGCATATTGAATACTCTTGGTAGCTTGCCAGGCTCTCTGAGAGGGGTGGAGGAATCGAACCTGGCTCGGCCGGGCTGGCTTGCGCAAGACAAACGCCCTACCACTGTGCTATCACTCCAGCCCCCCCTGCTAGAACCTCCAAACAACTGACACAGGGAACTATAAAAGAATGTATCTATTGTGAATAGTTTTAGCATTGCCACCTTTTCATAGTTTTGATATGAGATGATGTGGTTATCTCTTAAACTTGTTATTTTAAAAATGTCTTCTGTTGCTTCTTAAAGCTCCATAGAGGGGTTGGAGGGATAGCATAGCAGGCAGGGCATTTGCCTTGCACACGGCCGACCTGGGTTTGATCCCTGGCATCCTATATGGTCCCCTGAGCACGGCCAGGAGTAATTCCCGAGCGCAGAGCCAGGAGTAGTCTCTGTAACCCTGCATTGCCTGGGTTACAAAAAAACAACAAAATAAAAAAATAAATAAAATGAGAGCTCTGTATTTCCAACATTTGTGACTCCAAATAGTCCAGTATCCAAATTGGAGAAATTATTGGGAAGGAGGTTTGCTAAGGTAACTTTGACTGATTAGCTGTTGATCAAGTGAAAATTCAGTTTACACTTCAACAGTTGAGCTAATGACCAGAGTGATGAGCTATTAGTTCATGTTATCTTTATTGTTTGGTTTTGACCTCTTTTTCTGATTGTACAGATGATTTGGCATCTAGAGTGAACTAGTAACAGGAGAATATGTTGTTAATCGTTGTCTTCTCTCTTCCTCGCTTCCTCCCTCACTCCCAACTTGATTTTCAATTGATTACCAGACTACCAGCAGCTTCCTTCTGGAGGAAAATAATATATTGCTACTTAATTTATAGGGAGTACTAATATTATAGTCTTTAGGTATTCAGCAATCTAAAAACTTTTTTTCTTGCAAAAATGTGTTTTTATTTTATGCTTATAACAACCTAAAAATGGATAGGGTAGGTTATTGTATTTGAATTATTCTGTTTCACCAAGGGGATGCTGAGGCATACATAAAAGATAGGTTTAAGGGGGCTATAACAATAGCACAATGGATAGGGCAATTGCCTTGCACACGGCTGACCCAGGTTCGATTCCCAGCATCCCATATGGTCCCCCAGCACCAAAAGGAGTGATTCCTGAGTGCAGATCCAGGAGTAACCCCTGAGCATTTCTGGGTGCGACCCAAAAAGAAAAATAAAAAAGATGGGTTTAATATCACTGACTCAAAATATATTATCAAGACACCTGTGATAGTTCTCTTTTGAATGATAACTTTCTTTTTGCTCTGTTTTAGAGACGTCTGAGACATCTTCGGAACATCGCTGCCCGCAACATTGTTAATAGAAATGGCCACCAGCTGCTTGATACCTACTTCACACTTCACTTGTGTAATACTGAAAAAATATATAAAGGTAAGGGAATTTGGGCTTGCCACTTACAGATATCATTTTCATCTTTGTGTAATAAGTGTTTCCCAATGCCTTTTCTTTTTCTTTTTGGGTCACACCCGGTGATGCACAGGGGTTACTCCTGGCTCATGCACTCAGGAATTACTCCTGGCAGTGCTCAGGGGACCATATGGGATGCTGGGAATTGAACCTGGGTCAGCTGCGTTCAAGGCAAACGCCCTACCTGCTGTGCTATTGCTCCAGGCCCCCCTCTTGCTTTTTGGAAAGCCAAATTTTCATGTTGTCTAGCAATATTTTAAGAACCTTTATATCCAATAAAGGGTCATGGCTGTTGAGTAATCCTTTTAGACAACTGAGCCTTGCGTTGATAACCTTTATGTTCCTTTTTCTGTTTCGCTGGTGCCAGGTGCTGACAGTAGGTCTCACGCCTTCAGACATACACTTGACTGCCAGCCCCATCCCTTTGATTATTATATTAGCTACTGCGGTCTTGGTTCCACTTGGTTCCACTTGCCATCATTTGAAATACATGGTATATAATGTATCACTTTTCTTTGACATATAATTGAATTCCTTAATGTTATTGTAAAATTGGGACTTAATCAACTACCAGGAAATTAACAAAAGATGTGAAAGACTTACACAAAGAAAACTATAAAATGTTATTAAGCACTGCACTGTCCTCCCGTTATTCATTGATTTGCTCGAGCGGGCCTAGTAATGTCTCCATCATGAGACTTGTTATTGTGTTTGACATATCGAATACATCACGGGTAGCTTGCCAGGCTTTGCCGTGCAAGTGAAATACTCTTGGTAGCTTGCCCGGCTCTTCGAGAGGGGCAGAGGAATTGAACCTGGCTCGGCCGGGCTGGCTGCGTGCAAGGCAAATGCCCTACTGCTGTGCTATCGCTCTAGCCCTACAATGCTATTAAAATAAACAAAATAATACTTTGTTTACTTATTTATTAGTTTCGGGGCCACATTTGGCTCTTTTATCAGTGCTTATTCCTGACTCTACTCATGGACTCGAAGGATTAATATTATCAAAAATGACAGCATTTTACAGATTCAGTACGCTCCCTATAAAAATACCCATGACTTTTGTTTGTTTTTAGTTTATACCCAGTGATCCAGGGATTACTCTGGCTCTAAGCTCAGTAATTGCTCCTCACAGTGCTTGGGGGGCCATATAGGATTCTGGGGATTAAACTTGTGTCAGCTACATGTAAGGCAAGTGCCCTACACACTGTAATATCTCTCCATCCCATCCCATCCCATCCCATCCCATCCCATCCCATCCCATTTTTAAAAGACATAGATCAAATGCTATTGACATTTATATGGACTATTATTTCATATGAATATATTTTTCCATATAAATATATTTCCATATATTCCCTCCCAGTGACCAAAGCAGTCCTAGGAAAAGAAGATGGGAGGCTTCTCTTTCCCCAACTTCAAACTAAAGCTGTAGTAATCAAAACAGTGTGCTGGAGTGAGGACAGACTATCAGTCCTGAAATAGAATTGAGAATCCAAAGACAGATCCTCAGGTATATAGACACTTAATCTTTGATAAAGGAGCAAAATGTATGAAGTGGGGGGCTGGAGTGATAGCACAGCAGGTAGAGTGTTTGCCTTACACATGACCAACCCGGGTTCAATTCTCAGCATCTCATATCGTCCCCCAACCACCGCCAGGAGTAATTCCTGAGTGCAAAGCCAGGAGGAACCCCTGAGCATCGATGGGTGTGATCCAAAAAGCAAAAAAAAAAGTACGAAGTAGAGCAAGGAAAGTCTCTTCAACATAGGGTGTTCAACGTCTGTCAGTCATATGCAAAAAAGTGAATTCAGATCCCTTTCTAACACCCTGCACAAGTCAAATCAAATGGTTTTAAGACCTTGATATCAGATCTAAATCCACAGATCGTCTTGAGGAAAACATTGGTAGAATCTCTCATGGTATTGAACCTAGAGGTATCTTCAGTGATTCAGTGCCATTGGCTAAGCAAATGGAAACAAAGATAAAACAAATGGGTGCACAAAAAAGTGGCTTCTGTACAGTTAAGATAATAACCAGAAAAAAAATATACCTTACAGACCGGGAGAAAATGTTTGCCTGTCATTCAACCGATGAAGAGTTGATATTTAAGATATATAAAACATTGTTGGAGCTTTATCAGAAAAAAACAACCAACACTATAAAAAATTTGGATAAAGAGATAGAAAGAGATAATGCAGTGGATAGGATAACCCATGAGCATCACTGGGTGAAAATGAAAACAAAAAAACAAAAACTGGGGAAAGAGATAAAAAAAAAACTTCTTAAGTCACACAGGGCCAGAGAGATTACTAGGTGGGTAGAGAACTTGCCTTACATGTGGCTGACCCAGGTTTGATCTGCTTGCACCCTCATATAGTCCCCGGAGCCCTACTACGAGTGATATCTGAGCTCAGAGCCAGAAGTTGGCCCTGTGACTGCTGTGTATGCCCCCCCCCCCCCCAAAAAAGAAAAAGATAAAAAAAATCCCAGAAAGATGGTCAAAAGATGGGGCTAGAGCAATAGTATAGCGGGTAGGGTGTTTGCCTTGCACACGGCCAATCTGGGTTCGATCCCCAGTACTTTCTATGGTCCCCTGAGCCTGCCAGGAGTGTTCCCTGAGCACAGAGCCAGGAATAAGGCCTGAGTACTGCTGGTTGTTGCCCCCAAACCAACCCGCCCCCACTTCTCTCTCTCTCCTTCTCTCTCTCTCTCTCTCTCTCACTCTCTCTCTCTCTCTCTCTCTCTCTCACACACACACACACACACACACACACACACACACACACACACACACCATGGCCAAAAGGTAGCACTGTAGCACTGTTGCACTGTCCTCCCATTGTTCATCCATTTGCGCTAGCGGGCCCAGTACTGTCTCCATTGTGGGACGTGTTGTTACTGTGTTTGGCATATCGAATACGTCACGGGGAGCTTGCCAGGCTTTGCGGTGTGGGCAAGATACTCTGCATCACTTATCATCAGGGTAAGACAAAGCAAGCAACAGTGAGATATCATTTCACACCAGTGAGACTGACACACCTCATGAAATACAGAAATAACCAGTGTTTGCATGGATGCGGGGTAAAAGGAACCTTCATTCGCTGGTGTGGCAGGAATGTCAACTGGTCCAGCCTTTGTGGAAAACAATATGGACACTTCTCATATCTAGAAATGGAGATTCCATATGACCCTGAAATTCCACTTATTTTTGACATCTACCCCAAGGGCTCAAAAACGATTTAGAAAAGACAATTTGTACTCCTGTGTTCATTGTAGCACTTATTCATAATAGCTAAAATATGGAAACAGCCCAAGTGTCCAAGAGCAGATGGCTGAATATAAAGAAACTATGAAAAATATACAACTTGGCTACAAGAACAGATGAAATCACACAGTTTGCTGCTGCATAGGTGGATCTGGAAGAATATCGTATTGAGTGATGTTAGAAGGAGAAGGACAGACACAGAATGATCTCTCTTTTTCTCTCTTTTGTGAGATATAAAGAAACAGTAAGGGAATAATGAATGCTAAAAAAGGCAACAGAGATGAGAACTAAGTGTTCTTTAGAAGGAAGCTGACCACGGCGGGGGGGGGGGGGGGGATAGGGGACACTGGGACAGTGGTGGAGATCTGGTGGAAGGTGTGGTGTGGGAATGTGTTTTGTTTTTCTTTTGCACAGTGGTAGGGCATTTGCCTTGCGCACGGCCGAGCTGGGTTCACTTCCTCCGCCCCTCTCGGAGAGCCCGGCAAGCTACTGAGAGTATCTCGCCCGCACGGCAGAGCCTGGCAAGCTCCCCGTCACGTATTCAATATGCCAAACACAGTAACAACAAGTCTCACAATAGAGATGTTACTGGGCCTTCTCGAGCAAATCGATGAACAACGGGAGGACAGTGCTACTACTTGGTCACATCTGACCAGGGCTTACTCTTGACTCTGTGCTCAGGAATTACTCCTAGTAGTGCTTGGGGGACCCCACGGGGTGCCTGGGATAGAACACAGGTCTGGCGTGTGCAAGGCAAACACCCTACCCGCTGTGTTGTCGCTCTGATTATTGCTGGAATGTTTTATGCTTGAAATCCTAGCACTTTTGTAACCCACACGGTGCCTATAAAATAAAACTTAAAAAGAAATTGAGACTTAGTTTATATCCTTTTGTTTCTGTAATACCTAATATATATTGGATCATTTCTGGAAGAATGGTAATTTGTTTGAATTTAGTTTCATATATGATCCTGTGGATTCTTCCTATTAGTAGCAGTTCTAAGATTAGACTACATTAATTGCTTTTGTAGAGTTAACAGTTGAGCAAGATATGGAAACTTTATAGAGATAACCAGGGACCAGTTGTATGTAAACCTATCCAAAACTTAAAATATTCCGGCATGTTTATCACATTGCTCGTGATAAAACCTGTTAGTGAGCTGTAGACTGATTGTACCAGTCCGTGAAGGTGCTTATTCCCATAGACCAGATAGCAGTCAAAATATTTCATTTTTTTTTCTGACCATGTAGGAAAACATGTTAATCACCCAGTCTTTTTTTTTGGGGGGGGGTGTGGGAGGGGAGTACACCTGGTGATGCTCAGGGGTTACTCCTGGCTTTGCACTCAGGAATCACTCCTGCGGTATTTGGGGGACCATATGAGATGCCAGGGATTGAACCCGGGTCAGCCACGGCATGCAAGGTAGGGGACCCACTGTACTATCGGTTTGGCCCCTCACCCAGTCCTTGCGTCACCTAAAAAAAAGGACAGTGTAACCAATTAACAGCTAGTGGGATATGATGGAATTGAAGTGAGTCGTTTTCACTTAAAAATCTTCCGTACAGACTCAGCACCGAAAACCTGGGATCTAAGCTGTAGCCACCACGCTTTGTAAGGTGCCTGTTTAGGCGTCTGTGGGGAGAGGGGACAGGGGTTTGGGAGCTTTGGGGTAAGTGCACACTGGGGAGGGGAGTGG